GACTCACGTTGGAGAAGTTTGTGGAGAATGGTCTCCCATGACAGGGACCCCACGTTGGTCCAGGGGAAGGGGTCCTTCCCCTGAGGATGAAGAAGCGGCAGAAACAACATGTGATGAACTGACCTCAACCCCCGTCCCCTGTCCCCCTGTGCTGCTGGGGGAAGGACGTGGAAAATTGGGAAAGAAATTAAGCCCGGGAAGAAGGAAAGGGTGGAGGAGGTGTTTTAAGATTTGGTTCTATTTCTCATTATCCTCTGGTTTTGATTGGTAATAAATTAAATTTGTTTTTTCCCCCAAGTTGAGTCTGTATTGCCCGTGACAGTAATTGGTGACTGATCTCTCTCCATCCTTATCTCCACCCATGAGCTTTTCATTATATTTTTCTCCCCCTGCCCAGTTGAGGAGGGGAGTGATAGAGTGAGCTTTGGTGGGCATCTGGCATCTAGCCAGGGTCAACCCGCCATACCATCATACACTCATTCACACACCGACCCACTCCAGTTGCTTCCTCAAGGACACGTGGACCTTGCGACCCACGATCTGGCTCTGCATACTGCACTCACACCCCCATACACATTTGTGCACACTGACCATTGAGCTCTCACCCAGGACAGAATCAGAAAGGATTTTTATAAGACAGGATAGACTGTGCTGATCAGGGCAGGACATGGCCAGACAGGTGCACTGACAAGCCAACTATTTACATGACGGGTGCTTTTTTAACCCCTTTCCCCTCTATTTTCCTACTGTTGTTCCTCGCCAAATTGCCTAGACCCCTTTGCTCCCCCCTCTAAATATTCCATAATAAGTCCTCTGTGAACCCAGACTGCTTTTCCCCTGCATCCCATAACGTGTCCCAGCCCTAGACATCAAAATGCCTTTTAGTCCCAAAGGTGACCTGAATAGCTGCTCCTGACGACTCACAGTGATGGGTGTCATACCTGGACACCGGGGCTGATGGCTTTGCTGGGACAGCCCTGGGAGGGGTCTGGACATAGCACTCCTTCCTCAGGAGTCCTTGATTTGGGTTCCCACCACCACAGTGCCTATCTGTACTCCTCTGGTCTTGTGCAAATCGACCTTTGCCCCTGTGATGAACCTGAGTACAGCCTAACAGGTTATTATTTGGGATCCCTTCCTGCCATTGTTTCTCTCAGCTGCTTTGTGGGTGCGCAGAAGAGCTTTATCATATAGCCTAACACAAAAGGTCACATGTATATGATTATGTTTCTTTTTTTCTTTCTTTCCTTTTGTTTTTTGAAACTTGGAAAATACAGAAAGTTATGAAGAGAGTGAATAAGTAAAACCATACTGGACATACGCACAGGCAGACAAATTTTTGCAAGATTTGGGGTATTTATTCAGCTGTCATTTAACTGAAAACAATATTAATTGTGTTTAACTTTGCAGATTGTCTGAAACTTCTGAAATTGCTACTGGAAAGTTATAATGTGAGTCTTCCTGATGATATCTTTATGCCAAAAGCTCTCCATAGTGCTTCTTTTACATCACTGTTCCTGAGGCTGTAGATGATGGGATTGAGCATCGGTGTAATGATTGTGTAGGAAAGAGACACAAGCTTTTTATCATTCGGTGACAGGTTTGATTTGGGATGTAAATGAATTAAGCAGGTTGTACAGTAAAAGAGAGTAACAACCACAAGGTGAGCAGAACATGTAGAGAATAACCTTTGTCTGCTTTCAGCCATAGGCATCTGGACAATGGTATAGATAATGCAGATGTAGGAGACAGTGATTAGGATAAAGGGCAGCACCATAATAAGTAGAGTGGCAATGAACACCAGAAGTTCGAATATGTAGGTATCCAAGCACACCAATTTCAGTACAGGTGAGATGTCACAGAAGAAATGGTTTACTTCATTTGATTTGCAGAAAGGCATGCTGAATAGCCAGCCAGTGAGCCCAACTGCTACAGGGAATCCAGACAGCCAAACTACTGCTGACATTTGCCTACATGTCTTTTTGGTCATTATGGTAGCATAGTGTAATGGATGGCAAATTGCTACATATCGGTCATACGCCATGATCGCTAACAGGAAACACTCAGATGTGATAAAGAGTACAACCAAGCTCAATTGCAAAGCACAAGCTGTGAAAGAAGAGGTCTTCCTTTCTGACAACAAATTTATCAACATTTTTGGCACAATATCTAAGCTGTAGCAGATGTCAATCAAAGATAAATTCTTAAGAAAATAGTACATGGGTGTATGAAGGGCAGGGTCAACAGTTGCAATGAGGACAATGAGAATGTTTCCTATCATAGTGACTGTGAAGATCAAGAGAACTACCACAAAGAGTAAAAGCTGGAGTTGGGCAAGATGAGTGAAACCCAGCAGGATGAAGTGAGTTACTCTTGTGATGTTTCCCAAATTCACATTTTCCTCATTCTCCATCTGAAGAAAAAAAATCAATCCAGAAGTTGAATCCACTGTGATGATGTCACAGACTAATATCTTCAGAAATTGACAATGGAATGATAAAATAAGATGGGCTGACTGTAGTTCAAATAGCTTATAAGCCACCTGAATAGACTTAGGAAAATAACAGTATTTTTCAATTCGGAGTTCTAGATATTAATCTACAATCTGACACATAAACGTATTCAGAATCACACAGCCAAATATGTTTCCATATTTCAACCATTCACATAAACATAATTCACAGATATAGGCATAGAGTTATATGTACACACATGCCATCACACAGAAAGATAAGTGTGTTTATGCACCTGGATACAGAATACTCTCTCTCCCTTCTATCCCCTTCATGCTTTCACTTAGAAGTGCATCAACACACTCACTCTCAAGAATTACAGAAGCAAGTAGATAACCTCTTTATGTTCATATCTATAGGAACAACCTCAACATGAGCAATAGCTTTCCCCTTAAGTAGTCCTAATAAAGATAGCTTGGTTGGAATCTATACAGGATGTGAGAAGAAAATATCTGAGTTGTCTTTGACTTCTACTTTACTTTTAGCCCAAAACAATACCACATCTTTCATTATGCTGAAGCTGCCAGTGTTCAATAATGATTTTCAGATAAAGTTCCGAACCTCACAATGATTTTAAAGGATATTTTGAGCTATGAGACTGAGGAGTAAAGACAGAGAGATGGGGATCTCCACTGCTGGTATCTACAAGTCACCCTGATTTAAGCCACACAGTGATGATATGCTAATATTTAATGCAAAACTCCCCCCCACCCCCACCCCCCGCCAATCTTTTATTAGTATAAAAGTAATTATTCCTTTTTAAAAAAAGTCCACTACCATTACTTGACTGGATATATTTTGTATTTTTTTTATACTTATTTCTAATAATATTATATATTTTAATAATATT